CAAAGAACAAGATGTAAGAGACGAGCAGAGTGAGAGGAGGAGCAGAGGAGGAAGAACAGAGGAGAGGAGGAGGAGTAGAGGAAGAACAGAGGAGAGGAGGAGGAGGAACAGAGGAGAGGAGGAGGAGAGGAGAGGAGGAGGAAGAGGAGAGGAGGAGCAGAGCAGAGGAAGAAGAGCAGAGGAGAAGTGTGAGCAGAGGAGGAGGAAGAGCAGATTAGGAGGAGCAGATGAAAAATGTGAGCAGAGGAGGATAAGCAGAAAGGAGAAGGACAGATCTTTGTTTCATGAATAGGATTGATTAGATTAGGCATGTCACATTTATTTATTAAGTCCTTTGGGTGAATAAGTGGTATGAATTTAAGAATAATATTTTTGATAAGACATTGAGGTATGTGCCATGTGGACATATAAGGTCATGAGGATGATAAGGTGTGGACATAAGTGGTCAGAAGATGCTAAGGTGTGTTCCTCGTGTCGTGCTGCAGATGCTGAAGCTGCTGACGGAGCAGGAGATCCGCTCCGTGGTCCCGGTCCAGGCCCTGGTTCCTCGGACTTTCGTGCTCAGACCAGGTTCTTGTCTGTTTGTGGGAGGGCTGGTGCGCATCGACTTCATCAGCGTGAGTCCCTTCAAAGTCCTGGTTTAAACCCGACTTACACTGGGTTCTTCAGGCCTTGTTCTAAATCCATTTGTTGGTGTTTCAGGGCCCCAAGTCGGTGTGGTTCTCGGTTCTGGTCTCTAAAGACGTCCCGGTGCACGTGTCCAGCGTGGAGAGGGCGGACGGCGTTTACGAGAAACACGCAGGGGAGAAGCTGCTCGGGGTAACTCATCTGTACACAAGAAATTGTTACAGTCAATTTTACGACAGTTACCGTATTTTCCGCACTATTAGGAGCTCTAGATTATAAAACGCACTGTCAGTAAATGGTCTATTTTCGAACTTTTTTTCACAAATAAACCGCACTGGACTTTAAAGGAAACACAACAGTTGGATGGGTCAGTGGTTTTGTTTGTTTGTTCGTTCACGGTGACTCTGGGCTTTGTTCAGTTGTGGCGTGTAGGGAGGGTGCTGTCTGGGACCGCTGGATTGTCGGCGTGTTTGCAGTGACTCAGTTGTTCAGTTGTGTCTAGAAGTGGCACATTGCACTCGCTTTTTCGGTTCGTACCTCCCTTACGTTCCTTGTCAGCGTGGAGTGATGAGTGTGTCTGTGGGTGTTTTTCTCTGTGCGGTCTCCGTGTGTGTTTGCGTTTGCTGCGGGTGTTGCGGCTTTGTAGTTTACTGAAGTCGTGCTGGGACACCCGAGTGGATTCGTGCATAGGGTGCTCTGGATTGTGGGGCGTGCAGTCGTTTTTTGATGGGGTTGGAGGTTTAAGAGTGCGCCCTATAGTCCGGAAAATACGGTAGTTTTCTCATAGTATGTGACCAGCTTTATGGCTTTAGAGAAACAGTAGAACATAATGGCTTTATTTCACAAAGCAGACTGAACTGACCCCGAACTAGACCCCGACCACTAAATCCACTTTTTTGTTTTGTGCAGTTGTGCATGTGGTATTTTAATTGTATAAACTATGGTAACAAGTGGAGGAGTTCAAGTATCTCGGGGTCTTGTTCACGAGTGAGGGAAGGACGGAACGTGAGATTGACAGGCGGATCGGTGCAGCTTCGGCAGTGATGCGGTCGCTGTATCGGACCGTTGTGGTGAAGAGGGAGCTGAGCCGAAAGGCGAAGCTCTCGATTTACCGGTCAGTCTTCGTTCCTACTCTCACCTATGGTCATGAGCTCTGGGTAGTGACCGAAAGGACGAGATCGCGGATACAAGCGCTCGAAATGAGTTTCCTCCGTAGGGTGGCTGGGCGCTCCCTTAGAGATAGGGTGAGGAGCTCGGAGTAGAGCCGCTGCTCCTCCACATCGAGAGGAGCCAGTTGAGGTGGCTCGGGCATCTGTTCCGGATGCCTCCTGGGCGCCTCCCTCGGGAGGTGTTCCGGGCATGTCCCACCGGGAGGAGGCCACGGGGAAGACCCAGGACACGCTGGAGGGACTATGTCTCTCGGCTGGCCTGGGAACGCCTCGGGGTCCCCCCGGAGGAGCTGGAGGACGTGTCTGGGGTGAAGGAAGTCTGGGAGTCCCTGCTTAGGCTGCTGCCCCTGCGACCCGGCCCCGGATAAGCGGACGAAAATGGATGGATGGATGGATGGACTATGGTAACAAGGGAAGTCCTTTGTGATGTCACGTAGTACTTGAAATTCCAGTGGCCACTAAGGATGCAACGATATGGTTTTCCCACGATTCGATACGTATCTCAATACACGGTCATGATATCGATTCGATACGTTTGAAGATCCAAAAAAAAAATCTCATGTAATTTTTTCTGCTATTGAGTATAATATTATAACACCATGATGTTAATCAAACATTATACAATATATTACAGTAGAACTCCTGTACAGCTGTAGTTTTTATGTGTTTTAGAAGAGTTTTAGTTAATTTGGTTCAATAATTCACAGCACAGAATTTTTATTCAGTGAAAATAAGAGCAGAGCTTTCCCAGGTTATTTTATATTTTATAATACAGCCAGTCTACTCTTAATACAGGCTGTAGGGGAGTTACACTGTCAGAATTTTCCTTCTTTGATGAAGATTTGATGATTTCTTTTCCTCCTGAGTCTCACTGCATTGCACAGGCTCCTGTGTCGGTGCTGCTCTGTCCTTCAGCAGAGACAGACAGCAGCTCCTCCCACACTTCCCTGCTCTTTTCACACACACTGCACTCTCCCATCCTCTTTCTGGACACTCAAACTATGTTATATAACACAGAAATGTCTCAACAGACCCTTTTCTGAGTAAAACGTATGAGACAGAGTCTAAGAAAGTCACGTATATCGTGAGTCGCAACGTGTGTTCATATACGAGCACATTTGATTTGACCAGTATCAAATGATTCAATATCAATATCGGCCACTGGAGGCAGCAGCACGCCACACACTAGCTGCCGTGTTCCAAACAGGAAGTGAACGAGGGGGCGCTTCCGGCTCCATCGACTCTAGTTCCAATTGACTTTACATAGAAAAATCCTCACTGCTCCTGCTGTGAGCCTCATCATTTTCATCTTAAAATGTTTGTATTAACCCGCTCTACATGTTCCTCATTGTTATATTTTGCTATTTTGTCCTTAAATAATTGCTTTGTCCACTTCTTTATGCCCCAGGTGCCCATGGGAGGAGCTGAGCGGATGAAGACTTTTCCTAAACTCATCCCCAACGACGTCCAGATTGAAGGGAAGGGCTTTGACGAGGTCGCGGTCGACATCAAGATCTCCTCTGCAGGTACCGGCCGAGTACAATCAGACTGAAGAGGCATAAGTATTATTCAGTTATTAAACATATTCTATGCTGTAGGTTGGGTGGCTGTGACTCCGCCTCCCGGTGATGTCATCAGCGTGAGGGTGTGGTCTCCGGAGGGCGGCGGGGTCACTGTGCGAGCGCCCTCTCTGCTGCCCCGTGTGGTGACGCTGAAAGGAGCACGCATCAAGAAGTCCGCCGCCTACAAAACCCGCAAACCCCCCACGACGCCGCTGACCAGCCAATCAGGAGCCGGGAAGAAGAAGAGCAAGAAGTGACACGCTGATGCTGCGGCGTTCAATTTGGGTCAGGATTATGAATTCTTTAAAGGTCCTATATTATGCAAAATTGACTCTTGTGAGCTTTTATGTTGTTTCCTCATCAAAAAAAGCAGTTTTGTTTCATTCACGCATGTTTGAGTTAGAGTGTGGATCAGGACAAATTTTTCGGTTCAAGCCTGAACCGTGTCCGACAGAGCAGTGATCGAATCCAACACAAGCCCCATAGGCATCAAGATATTTGTATAAAACCTTTTCAAATGAAGCGCTTGGACCTCCAGAGGATAATAAACAGGAGATAGAGCACAGTGGTGTCTTTGAGGAAGGGAAGTCAATTTAAAGATACAAAAAACCTAAAGCACTCACTGGTTAAAATAAAATGCCTTTATTAATTTACAGCCTGCCTTAATTAATTAATTAATTAATCACTGCATTTATATAGAGCCTTTCAAGATACCCAAAGTGCTTTACAGTTCATTATTCATTCACTCAACACTCAGTGGTGGTAAACTAGTATTGTAGCCACAGCTGCCCTAGGGCAGACTTACTGAAGCAAGGCTGCCAATCTGTGCCATCGGTCCCTCCATCCACCACCATCTCTCAAACACACATCACTTTTATACTAGGCAATGTGGGTGAAGTGTCTTGCCTAAGGACACAATGACAGTTTTTGTGTCTGGCGGCACGGTGGCTGAGTGGTTAGCACTCATGCCTCACAGCAAGAAGGTTCTGGGTTCGATCCCCGGGTCGCCCAGGCCTTTCGGTGTGGAGTTTGCCTGTTTGTCTGGATGGGTTTCCCCCATCAACCCAAAAAAACATGCTACAAGTCTCCATAAACAGTTGATAGTCATGGTCAGTTAAATACAATCAATTCAATCATTGTGTCCTTGGGCAAGACACTTCACCCACATTGCCTAGTATGATGATGGTGTTGGTCGGAGGGACCGATGACGCCAATTGGCATGGCGGCCGTGCTTCTGTCAGTCAGCCCCAGGGCAGCTGTGGCTACAATAGTAGCTTACCATCACCAGGGTATAGAGTGAATGAATAATGCTGAATAATGCTCTGTAAAGCTTGCGAACAAAAAAAATGTCTGTGAAAAGCGCTATATAAATACTTACTTGCTTACTGGCGCCCCCCTGTGGCACCTGGAATTCCCAGCGGTCTCCCATCCAAGTCCTGACCAGGCCCGGCCCTGCTTAGCGTCTGAGATCTGACGGGATCAGGCTTTGTATATGACTTTGTATGGCCACTGGTCTTAATGGAAAACTTACGAAGTCCCAACGCGTGTCAGTCTATGGCTTTCCTCAGGGGACAACCATAGACTGAAATGTGTCATGTAAATTGCCCATTGCCCGTAAATTAATAAAGGCATTTTATTTTAACCACTGAGTGTCTTTAAATTAAGATATTTGTGTTCGAACCCGACTGAACCCGACACAGTTAAAATCACACAGTTTGCATAGATGACACACGTAGGATTTTGTGTTCCTCTAGCGGACGCAGAGACAGACTCAGGAAATACAGACTCAGGATAAAGCAAAAATAATGAGGAGACTTTATTACTCACCTCTTGTTAAGTGGTGAATTTGAAACTGCAGCATCTCATCCATATTAACCAAGAAACTGTCCTCCTCAAATGACATCTAGTCCACAAAACCGCGCTGTTAATCCAGTGTGAGGGGTTATTTGAAAGTAAAAAGGTGGGAGTAGTTCCTCACGTGTGTTTGTTTACATCCACACAGCGCTCAGATCGAGGTGAAGCTGCAGATTAGTGACAGAGACTCTATTTCCTGTCGACGTTATCTCCAATTTAAAATTATGTATCTGAAGTATCTGATCTTTTGAACACTTAAGAGTCAAAGCGAGTCGTTTTACTGTAAAAAGGAAACAGCTGACGTGCCGATGTGTCCGAGTTCTAAGTTCTAAATATTTGTCCATGCTCTAGTTTGAGTAACACTTTATTATGAGTCTGTCTACATCTCCAAAGCTCAAAAATGTTCTGTTGCACGTTGTGATGTCATGTAGTGGTAGTTTTCAGGTTAACAGCTCCTTTTAATTTCAGTTCAGTAGAGATTGGCAACTCCAGGGCTGAAAACACAGTGAAAACACTTCCGGTATCACCACATGACATCACAAGATGGAACAGAGCATTTTGCACTTTGGAGATGTAGATTGTTTTCTGTTTGAGAGAAGAACTCAGCCTAAACATGCAGGGTTAAACATGTGTGAATGAAACAAAACACAACTCCAGGTCTGTTTGTGATGAGGAAACAACATTATAACATAGAAAATAATGTAATATGGGTCCTTAAGGTATAAATTATATATTACACAAAATGCTATGAGCAAAAAAAACCCAATAAACCTACTCTCAGACACATGAATGAGATTCTGTGTCTTTGCAGCACTAGAGCACATGAATGTGCCACCAGACTTTTGTTATTATACATACATCAAATAAATTCTGTCACCTGGTCAAAGGTTTTAGAGTGAACACGTTTCACTGATCCAGACATCTTCACTTTAAAACCTTTGGCCAGTTAATAGAATTTATTTTATATTTGTATAACAAAAGCAAACATTTGACCAGAATAAAATTTTCTTTTGCGATGGAACCAACCTGGACGACTGAGGGATTATACAGACACACAGACATAATTTAACAGAGAAAACTGAAAATATGTACAGTTTTATTGCTTTTGTAATGTCAGAGCTTTAAGCTATGTGAAAAATAAAAATGTGTTTTTGTAGTTTTGATGTTTTTTCTTTTTAAACATGAAAACATTTATGATATGGTGATATTTGTTTATTTACTGGGCCTTTCCACTTGAAACAAAGCTTCACTTCTTCTTTATCAGTATAAATTAATTACAATTACCGGTTTTCTCTTAAGTAAAAAAACAAAAACAAAGAACTTTAAAAAACATTTTATTATGGAACCAAAAGGAAATGATCCGGTTCATATAGTATACATATTTCTGAACAAATAAAACAGCCCAATACATGTTATTACAAGATAAAACTGTAGTTAACTTAAAGCTGCGTTGTGTAACTTTTCTGGTGGAGTCTTCATCAAATGCTTTTCGTCATGGAGATGTTTTTACTTTGTCCGTAACGTTTCATAGTAGTGCTGCTCGATTTTGGAAAAAATCATTATCACGATTATTTTGGTAAATTTTAAAATCACGATTATTCAGACGATAATTTTTTAAGTTACACAATGCATTTATTCAGCTTTTCTCTTTCTAAAAAACACTTTGTTATTGATAATTTATACAAAACTGTCAAATTAAAAATAAATATAGGCTACAAATATGAACCTTAGAGCAGTTTTGCGATGTATAAAACATGATAAGACAACTTTAGGCATAGAAAAATATAGATGTATCCAAAATAAACTATATATCCAGCTGTTCTACAATCTATATTAAAAAAAATTAAAAAATATACTTATTTATATACAAAAATATCCCAAACTTTGTTAAGCTTTAATCGTTTCAACTCAATTATGAGTTTGGAGATCGTTTGACACACAAATCAAAATCACCATCAAAATTCAATTCATGGCAAAGCCTTATTTCACAGTGTGGCATGGGGACCAAACCAGACCAAGTTACAGGTCAGATCTGTGGAGAGGCGACCCCGCTCACACTCAGAATGTGTGTTTTTCTAGGTATTTTTGAGCTATAAAACCTCCTGTAATTGAATAAATGTAAGGTAGAGCTGTTTAAATGTCACACTGTGGAACATTCCAGGCAGAGTATTGACACACTCCCCCAAACAAAAAGTTACACAGTGCACCTTTAGTAAACATAAACATTATAAGGGTTCACCGTTTGGAGGCGATGGACTGACAGGATTTTGAATGTTAAAAAACTATAAACCAAACCTTTTATATTTAGTTCTAAAAGTCTGATCAATTCTACACATGTACGGTGCAGTAAAATCATGGAAAATTCACTTTAGGTCATGAAAAATTAAAGTCAAGTTTTGAAATTTTGTCAGAGAAAAAGAGTATGAACCCTGAATCCACCATCTACACGTGTTCTGGATGAATTTTACAGTTCCAACATGGCCTGCTTTTACGTTTGGTTACCATGGAGACGATTAGAGACACTGATACAGCTTTTTCCAGTTCCGATATCTATACTTATATGTGAACCAGTTAAACGTAGAAATGGAAAATATGTCACTTGTTTCCTTAAAAAACTGTGAACTTTTTACACAAGTGATTCAATTTTGTTTTGTAACTTTTATTTAAAACTTCAAATCACAACTGAACGACTTTGTACTCTGCAAATTTCTCTGATCGGGCCAAGATTTTAAAACTTATATCAGGTTAATTATCTTGTTTTCAGATTTATTATCGACTTACTGATTCTGAAACTGATTAATTCTAGTCTAGAGGTAGAGATAGTAAAATTATCTTGCTGCATGGACGAATAATTTCACTACTTTAAGTCATTTTCTGATAGATTTAGGTGATTATATCTTAAGTTTTTGCAGTTTATGAATAAAAACTGACATTATGAGAAGTTCTAGGCCATAATCAGACTGTAAATCACCATATTACGTCTGATTAAAGGTCCAACCAGGATATTGTCTTAACCGATATCATGAAACCAGCAGATTTTCAATACTAGTACCAGTATCGGTGCGTCCCTAGAATGATCTCTGTAGCTTTATTATATCTGAATGGTACAACACACAATGAGCCGTGAATGGGAGAGAAGGGGAGGGCTGGTTCAGTGTGTGTGGATAAAGACGGAGGAGGAGGAGGAGGAGGGTTCGGACACTGGGCTGAAGGCTGATGAGATGTGAATGACCCAATCAGGGTGAAGTCATGCTGACGTAGGGTGCTCCTCGCTCCTCGCTCCTCGCTCCTCGCTCCTCGCTCCTCGCTCCTCGCTCCTCGCTCCTCGCTCCTCGCTCCTCGCTCCTCGCTCCTCGCGCTGTGGACCCGGGGCTCAGACCGAACTCCAGCCACTCAAGAAATAAGAGATTTAATTTGAGATTGTACTGTTATTCTAATATTTATAATAGAAAAAAACAATCCTCAGACACATTCACCATGATGATTCACAAAATTTACTACTACTACTACTACTACTACTACTACTACTACTACTACTACTACTACTACTACTACTACTACTACTACTAACTACTACTACTACTACTACTCCTCCTACTACTACTACTACTACTACTACTACTACTACTACTACTACTACTACTACTACTACTACTACTACTACTACTACTACTACTACTACTACTACTACTACTACTACTACTGCTACTACTACTACTACTACTACTACTACTACTACTACTACTACTACTACTACTACTACTACTACTACTACTACTACTACTACTACTACTACTACTACTACTACTACTACTACTACTACTACTACTACTACTACTACTACTACTACTACTACTACTACTACTACTGCTACTACTACTACTACTACTACTACTACTACTACTACTACTACTACTACTACTACTACTACTACTACTACTACTACTACTACTACTACTACTACTGTACTACTACTACTACTACTGCTACTACTACTACTACTACTGCTACTACTACTACTACTACTACTACTACTACTACTACTACTACTACTACTACTACTACTACTACTACTACTACTACTACTGCTACTACTACTACTACTACTACTACTACTACTACTACTACTACTACTACTACTACTACTACTACTACTACTACTACTACTACTACTACTACTACTACTACTACTACTGCTACTACTACTACTACTACTACTACTACTACTACTACTAAGACTACTACTGCTACTACTACTGCTACTACTACTACTACTACTACTACTACTACTACTACTACTACTACTACTGACTACTACTGCTACTACTGACTACTACTGCTACTACTACTACTACTACTGCTACTACTACTACTTACTAATACTAATACTACTACTACTACTACTACTACTATTACTAATACTACTACTAATACTACTAAAAAAAAAAAATGTAGACATATTCACATTACCGTACATCAAGGGCATAACAAAAAATTGCAGAGGACAATGAGAACTCAATATCCACATCTTTGTTACAGCCCCAGTCGTCCAGCTCTGACTTGTTTTGTGTGTTTTGTTTTATTTTGTTGATTGTCCTGATTCCTGATGTGGGAGCCCTGGTCCATGATTGGTGGGGTTTGTCTACGCCCACCTCACCTGCCGCCACCGCTCCCTGTTTAATGCCATAATCTGGGAATTTCAGCAAAGCTCTGGCATCTCTATAGATACAAGATGGTGAAAAGTGACACAGTGCACCTTAAAAATGATGCCACAGTGGTTCTTTCTTA